CCCCACAAATGAATGGCGATTAGCCAGAGTAAAGGCCGTAGGCGACTCGTGATACCCACATGGGCCATTAGCTGATCTTCCCTTGGATTTCCAGGTTTACTGCAACACTTTCTAGCTTACACTCAATAAAATGTTATAGGAACGGAACGTATGCGCACCCTCCGGGGGGAGAAGGCGGCGGGGGGGGGAAGTCGGTGAGCATATGTGCGGACTTGTTAGACTGTTGACTGTTCCATTTCAGACGCGCTACCCCACCCCCTCTTCTCCCTTTCATTACTAAATTATTGCAGGAGAAGACCGTCCCTCGATACTGGGAAGAGGGAAAGTCGTACACTTATAAATCAGGCGCTCTTCGGCTTCGAAGGGCATTTTGCACTTTACCTCCATTTGTAGTACTTGTTAATGAACCAATTAATAATTTCCATAATGTTGTCGTCGTCTACTGGGCGAATGTGAACGTGGCCCATGGGACAAGTTTGGGCGACGCCGGCGTGCGCCTTGGAATGATTTATGAGCAGCGTTCGAGGACGTTTCAGTTCGTGGGGGAATTCAGGTCTCATAGCGGGGAATTCCGCCGCTGCAAATCGTTCAAAAATTAGATCGCCGAGACGATAGCAAAAGGGACCGCCTGACTTGATTTAATGGGATGTGATCAGCTGGGAGGGGTAGACGTGTTGATATCGGTCTGGTAGACGACGTAAGGGTTTATCGGAATTAACCGCTGGTATCATGAAGGTACGCACTTTGTTACGGATATGGCACATCCCGAGGTTGGGGAGCAGGAGTTGGGAAGGTTTTTGGCGCGATTCGACTTGGAGGGGCTACAAAAGGTACTTAGCGAAGCCCGTAAGGCCCAGGTCACTTCGTGAACACCTGTGAATTCTTGTAAATAGGGTGGCTCACATTTACAATTTCGCACCTTCACAAAACTTTATAAGTTATCAACAGGAGCTAGCAAAATGTGCTGCGCAAGTGCATGATGCCCCCCCCCCTCTATGACGATCAGGTTTTATTTTCAAACAGGTCTCGCCGAAGTGAGACCTATTCATTAACAAGTACTACAAAACAAAGGAGGTAAAGTGCAAAATGCCCCTTCGAAGCCGAACAGCGCCTGATTTATAAGTGTACGACTTTCCCCTCTTCCCAGTATCGAGGGACGGTCTTCTCCTGCAATAATTTAGTAATGAAAGGGAGAAGAGGGGGTGGGGTAGCGCGTCTGAAATGGAACAGTCAACAGTCTAACAAGTCCGCACATATGCTCACCGACTTCCCCCCCCCCTTCTCCCCCCCCCCCGGGAGGGGGTGCGCATACGTTCCGTTCCTATAACATTTTATTGAGTGTAAGCTAGAAAGTGTTGCAGTAAACCTGGAAATCCAAGGGAAGATCAGCTAATGGCCCATGTGGGTATCACGAGTCGCCTACGGCCTTTACTCTGGCTAATCGCCATTCATTTGTGGGGATTAGCGCCGTAACTGTTGCCATAGGAGCCCCATCAGAAGCCCCATCAACCGTGGATTTTGGTTGATCCCTGCGCGTAATAGAATACATAGGCTTCTTTGAAAGTATTTGAATAACATGTGGTTGTCAGGATGGGAAGAGTAGTTCAATACCTCTCCCCACCCCTCCCCGAAGCGGCACCTCTTTGGATTCCGTCGAGATTTCGTCGAATATCGGCCAATGCGGGAACCTTGAGCACCTCTGCTAAATGTTCCGCTCATGCTGAGCTAAAAAGCTCAAACAGCTGATTTCCGCTCTCCCCCACCCCCTGATCAGCATTCAGTGGTGGATAACCCCATCTGACCTCGACGTCTGTTTGCTAATTGTTGGTGGAGTGGGGGAGGCAGGCTTGGGACGGCTGTGCAGGTGTTCACACTCACGATCTGTCTCTGCTCGTTTTGTCTCATACGATTCACGGTGAGGTCACGCCATAGACCACCTGTGCTGATTTTCCGGTCCCACCGAGAAATTTGATCAGAGCACCGGGCAACGTCAACCGGTCGGAACCTTTCAAGTCCATAAATGTAACCCACTTGGCTTGGAACTCTGTGCTTCTTGAGGGGCGTTCCGGAAAAGGCTTTCCAGCACCCCCTCATTAGTTGGCGACCGGCAATGTTTCAGAGCTAATGGGCGGTTTCTAGATAGCTCTTTGCAGATCCCACTCATTTCATGGGGGGGGGGAACATTACACCTAACTCAAAACCTTTTGATGTCAGCGTGCCATTACCGTAGCCATTATGGGCTGACTGCATCTTAAGTGCTCTGGCATTAACCAAACCGGTAGAGAAATCGCTAGTGTTTTTTGCCCCCTCCCCCTCACCCTTATTTTTAAACGCCTATTCGTCACCTGAAGTAGTCACTAATGCGAGGGTAATCGGTCGTTCGTTAATTAGCAGCTTGCCAGGGTCTCAATTAGGGCCCGTCGATCGATAACTGATCTAGGGTTTCATTTGATACCCATGATCGATAATTGATCCAGGGTTTTCGATTAGTGCACATCGATCAATAATTGATCGAGCCTTTCAAATAGTGCCCACGGATCTATACTTGATGGCATATTTTTTATTGAAGCGCTTGCATTAACTTTCTCTGAGGCATACTGTATGGTACACCGTTTCGGCTTTTGGTTTTTCTACGTACTGATATCATCGGTTTTCCTTGAGTGGTATTTATTGATTTATTGATTGTGGGGTCTTCCGGTTTTTTCCTGAAATCGGTTTTTTTCCTGAAATCTGCAAGAAATTCACACTGAGCAATCAAATACAGGAGCTCGCGCTACGTCATAGCACTACTGTAGGAATCACACCTCTATGGTACGGTAGAAATCGATTTATTGATTAACGACCATGAGTTGTTTACATGATGGTGCAATGAGATATGATAAAGGCGCTTATTTGGAATTGGACCACGCCCCTTTGATGACTTAATGACCCTATATTGATTTGTTATGTCGCAGCTCGTATATCCATTTATACATGCCATATGGCTGGTCTTGTTATGACACTGTGCAGGGATCGAGTGTTCTTGGAAAGCTGCTAAGGGGCGTTAGTACACAGCTTCCTTTCCATTACAGTTTTCATGCTTGTTCTTTTCCTTTTTCTAGGTGATCCTACCTTTTTTGAAGGGTGGATTTGATGATTTTGTTTCCGTAATATAGCCTTTCTGACTCTGCTGAAGGTGATTATTCAGCAGAGTCAGGCAAGTATTCTTTTATTCTTTCGCTAGAATGAGCTATGGTCTTATATGGCACCTATTATTACACAGCTGCAGGCAATTCAATTTTCTTCGCCGTCAGAGTCTGGCCTAGCTCCACCCCTTTCAAACCAATTCGGTTCCATGCACAGTTCTTGGTACTCTCTACTGTATAGGAGAACTTTCGTTCAAGGCCTAATCACATTCCCTGTGAGCAATAATTTTCAGTAAATGTTCGTATTCTTACTGTATTCGACGCAGTTCGACGACGGGGGGGGGCACTTTGCTACTAACCAGAGAGCTATTTCATGAGCTCACAAGGGTTGACAGGTTTTATCATGGTAGCTCGACGAGCCTACTCTAGCTTAACAAGAGTTCACAGGCTTTACCAGAGTGAAACCTGAAAACCGGAACTAGTGCAGCAGTGAAAGTGCAAAATGCCCCCCCCCCCGTCGCCGAGCAGCGTCCGCTTTTAATATGAGTAATATATTTCAGTAAATGTTCGGATTTTTACTGTATTGTTTTGTCCAATTGGTTAATTAGACTTAACAATTGAGCAATAAGTTGAATTAGGATTTGCACCTGCTCGATAAAGTTTTACTGGTCCTTTTGATGGAAGGGTCCCGCTGCCAAAGGGTGTGGTCCTGGACATCCGAAACGCGACATCATCATCCAGCTTTAGCTTGTTGACTCGACAGAGTATTTTGGCGTCAAATCATTAAGGTCCTGGCCGCCTACGTTCAACATCGTTTATTTCTCAGCTATATTCAAAGAATGGACGATCGACAGTTGGTCACTGAATGAATATGCTGACTTTCCGACAATAATCCTCAAAATTTGCATGGAAAAAACTCACTTATAGGCAGTAGAGTTGACCAAGTTATGAAAGATACGATACAGAACGTCGGCTGACTACACCTAAATGATTTGACGCTTAATTGCTTGGTCAAGTTAACAGGCTAAATTTAGTCGCTGCTTCTTGAGTGATGCTGCGACCTAGAACAGACCCTTTGCCGGTTTAGGGATCTGTTCATTCTCGGTCTCTAGACGGTATTGTCACGAAGAGGATTGTTGCATATCACGGCTTAGTTAGGCTGGAGGGGGCATTTGCAGTTTCCGTCGGTCTCTGCCGATGCTTCCTGTGGAGACTTGTAAACTCTTGTAAATGTGCTTAATAATAGGAGCTTCCTTTACACTTGACGTGATTGTAGAGGTATCAACGAGCTGTGACGTGCAATTTGACAAGAACCAATAAAAGAAACTAGCGCAAGTGTGAAATGTCCCTCCCAAGCCGGACAGCGCTCATAGCTCGTTTGAAGCGGTTGGTTTGGCAGATGGTTGTCTGTTAGCGACCGCCGTGCTACTAGAACAGGCCTGCATTCTGCAAGCAGCTTATTCGTGGAAATCAGAATATTGATTTCCAACCTTCACCTGATCCATGTACTGTACAACTAAATGCTGGACTCTATACCGTACATTGTAGTGCTGTTAATATGGGTGTGAATTTGTGGCCCCATATCTTCTTCTGTGTGGCGAGCCGAGCGCTAGTGGGAGAGTTGTGAGTGTCTACCTTGGCGACATCGAGTCAAGCGAGTACTTAAAAGCGATAATGAAGTTATTTGGCGAGGAAGGTTCACTGGAGCATTATAAATCAATTCGGGAGCACTCATGCGAAGTACGCACACACTCACGTGCATTCGTTACCTCCACAGCTTCTTGAGCAGGTGCGCTTGGTGGGGGGGGGGGTCGGTGAGCAGTCGTCGGCCGGTAGGACTTTTGGTTCGCTCCGACGCTTTACTCTAACCGAACCTTTTTCTTAACTGAATAGCAGGCCTGCTTGGGAGAAGTCTGTGAGGTGTCAGTCTATCAACGACCTTC